TGAAATTTCAGGGGAAATGTTTTGAATTGAAATATGCTCTCCACCTCAAATTAGTAGTGTCTCGTCCCTGTACATCATACGTTTTCTATTAGTAATGGGGTCATTCTAGTCATCCACCAGCTTTAATGTGGAAATTTTGAATTAAAATAACGTAACTTTCGTTTTGCATCAGTAGTTCGTATATAGTTAATTAGTTAATCGGGGCCTCCTGCATCTATGCTTTCTATATCTGGTCTCCGCTTTCATCTATCTAACTCACTTTTCGAGATTGAAGATGAACAGACAAACGGACGAACGAAGTGAAAATTCATAAGTCTACAATTTTTTTCAAATTGCAGCCCAATAAATTCATAATATATAAAGACATATAAAGAAGTATGAAGTGATTTTCTTCAACAATTTTAATTTATTTTTACATTTTCGTATAATTTCAACAGATTATATTAAAAGATGATCTAATTCATGCAGCTACGTTAATAATATATAACACTAGTAGCCTAGAACATCTACAGCATGAAATGGCTATAAAAGTAATTTTGCAGAGATATAAATCAAAATAATAGTTTTAGTTGACGCGTTGATAAATAAATCAAGTTAAAGTAAACTTATATTTGTCAGTTTGTTCTCCATAGGTAATATTTTTACTGAAATGATACTATTTTTTACTGGAATTACTGTCTGTTCAGCAAGAAGATAAATATAAAACTGTTTATAAATAAAAAAAAATTGTTTATTTAATATATCGCAATATAGAAAATTTGTATTAATAAATAATTTAAGTATTATTTTAAATTGGAAAACTAATTCATTTCTTATTTTGAAAATAAATTTTTATTTTTTACTTATTTTTTACATTCTTTTATTTATAATTGAAAAAAATGCATAATACATACATAAATACAAGATTAAATTTTTAAAATTTACAGATTCATCAATAATTTACACAAATTTAAATAACAGACTCGATACATGGAATTTTATTCGTTTTTAATTCTTCAATTGAAAAAGGTGATTTGATATTATAAGTATTCGTAGGAAGATTATCACTATTCGTGCTCTTTAGAGAAGATAATACTGTTCCTACGGAATGTCCAAACCTTAAAAGTTCTCTTCTTATATTAGTATTAAGCCAACCGTATAAAATAGGATTCGACGTAGCAGATGTCATAGCAATTATATGACATATAGCAAAAGAAAGATAAAGGTTGTAAGCTGACATACTAGTTGGATGAAAGTCTGCAACTAAATTAACAACATTCCAAGGTAACCAACTAGCAGCAAAAACGACAGTAATATTCATTAAGACCATTGTTGCTCTTTTATTTCTTCCTAATTCTTTACGAATTTTCTCATAATCTTTACGAAATCCAGCAAAAGTTTGCTGAAAAAGGGTAAGATTTAAGTGAGATTTAATTCTGAAGTGTGTAATCACTAATACTGTTGCGGGAATAATGAACTGAGCCAGAACAATTATTATAGTATAGGTGCTTTTTGTAAAATTGGAAGGCCAGTGCTCCACACAGCGTTTGTATATAGCAATACCAGGTAGACCAACAGTACTGACAGTTTGAGAAAAACATACCGGACTGGAAAGAATTATCGATATTATCCATATTACAAAAATAAAATATGCTATTCTTTTTTCTCTGTCTTCTCTTTTCTGCGGTACGCGAGATGTAACAACGTTATATCTATCGATAGCAATAGCTGATACTGTAGCTGCTGACACAAAGACCGTAGAACCTTGAAGGAAAGGTACAATTTTGCAAAGGCTTTCATCTAGAGGCCAATGGCGTTTTACTAAAACCAGTGCAGTGAACGGCATGCAAAATATACACAATGTGATGTCGGTAAAATTTAGATTTACTACGAGCAGATTACGATTTGTTCTTATTTTATTACGAAAGATGGCAACGGTCACTAATAAATTGCTAAAAATTCCAGATACCATTAAAAATGCATAACACACTATTATGATTATTTCCGTATTCCTTTCAAATATTCTATTCCTCTGCATATANTCCTCTCCTGACATTTCGCTTGTCTGAGTATTTTCTTCTATATCTCTTGTATGCTCTTTACGTGGTCTCCCTCGTCCCCTTTTTTGCATAACTGCTTGACTTGATATTGGAGGAGATCGAGGAAAAGGTCCGGGATTTAACTCAATTCCGGCAATCATTAGTAACATAAAAATTATTATTCTAGTTAATGCAACATTTGAACTACTTAATTCAGTTCTACACTTAATATTCTGTTGTAAAAATTCCATGTCTAACGTCGCCACGACAGCTCAGCAAAAAAGTCACCAACACCTCCGCAGGCTAGACACGCCCCCCAATTTATTATACAAGATAAAATATAGGCCTATATAAGTTCTATTATAAACGATATTTTTATTTTTATTCATTTACTTAAAAATTGACTGATAATTTTTTAATATAATTTTCGTTTTCTCATTTAATTTTATTCGGTTATTTATTCAAATATGATTAATTCGAATCGACTTTTATTCCCTTTGAAATTAGAGTAAAATGTACAGTTAAATAAAAATTTTAATATAAGTTTTGATAATTTTGATAATTGGAAGCACAAAGTATCTAGCTCTAGGCCGAAGGTAATATAGCTTATATTTAAAAAATAAAACTGGAAAAAGTAGCATTTAGACCACTGGTTTATATTAGGGGCAGTCAAATGAAAACGAGACAGACTATATAACAAGTGTGGCATGGAAGTTTGCAATGCAGGTAGGTGTGTATATAGAAGTGCTCTCTATTGGGAATCAGGAAGGAACTGCGTAAACGTTCACCGCTGTGCCATTTGTCTGTTAGACGTGCTCGAAGTGAGGTTGGCGAGTCGTGTGTGCGTCCAACATCACTATGGAGGTCCGCTGCTTGTTGACTTTTTGGAACATGGCGCCACAATTAACGCACAGCGGTACATAGAAACTTTGCAAAAATTGAAGCATGCAATCAAATCCAAACACCCAGGAATATTGACAGACAGCATCATTCTGTTGCAGGATAATGCCCACCCGCACGTTACCAAGGTTGTTTTGACTACGCTACAGAAGTTTCGCTGGGAACTTCTGCAGCATAGTCCAAACAAATCTTCCATACAGTCCCGATTTCTCCCCATGCGATTTCCATATGTTTGGAGCCCCGAAGAAAGACATTCGTGGCCGTCAATTTGCTTTGGACGAAAAGGTGCACGCCTGTAGCAACCGCAAACATTTTTCTATGAAAACATTGACCATCTTGTCTCACAGTGGGATAAATGTATCAATAGTTATGGCAATTGCTTTTGAAATAATAAACAGTTTACTTACTTTTTTCCCATCTGTCTCGTTTTCATTTGACTGCCCCTAATACAATCCATGCATTTTGGTGATTCCCTGAAGAGCATGTGTTCTATAAATCAAAATTGGCGAAATTTTACTGTTTTAGTGTAATTTCACTAAAACAGTAAAATTTCGCCAATTTTGATAGCTAAACAACTCTTTAATTTAAGAGTTGTTTAGCTATGTTTTTACGATGTCTAATCGTGAAATCTGCGCAAGTTTAAATTAAAAATTGAAATAAAGACATAAAAAATGTAAAATCAACGAATACGGAATACTAAAGAACAGTAGAAATTTGTATAAAATTCCCCGGGTAATTCGATTTTTAATATCAGATCGCAGTTGTCTATTCTTAAACAAGAAGTAGATTACAATGTAAAAAGCCCTAAAGCCTTTTCTACAATAAGATTGGAGCCGATATTTATTACATATGCGAAGGAAAGTAGTTCCGTGTTCGTTGCAAAGTAGAATATAAAATATACAGACCATATATTCGAAAATTATATATTTAAAATACTATAATCTATTTGAAACTTCGACATTTTAGCGAGAAATCAGAGATTACTTTAAAAAAAGCCATATGACGTCATATGACCTAATGTTTGAATTTCCGAAAACTCAAACATTATCTTTTGTTGCTTATTTATGATGTTGGAGTTCCACATATTTAATATCAAGCATGTCGATCCCATTCTTATTCTAGGAAATTAATAATAATACGAAATTTTTCGGATTTTCTTGGGATGCGAATTAAAATGATTCGACTATATTTAAAATATTAAAATGTATAGCTAGCGCTATAGCATAATCTAATAATATAAGCCATTGTTCGCATGTTTGTATATCTGTAATCTGTAACGGAATGCCTAGAACGGCCACTAGATGCGTCCCTAGCTATTATTTAAATCAACAATAAATTCAGTATATTATTATTAAATGCGATTTTTTGCGTTTTTTACTGAGTTTTAGTAGGGTATGCCATGAAAATGCACATTAAGAAGGGATTTTTTAAAATTCCCCCGCAGGGAGAGGGTAATCCTTAGAGGGGGTTTAAAATTTCTCTACGAGGAGGGGAATTCCCCCACGGGAAGGGAAAAAATTCCCATTGATAGTCTATGAATTTATTATTTATACTACGGAATGATATTGCTGCTGCTAGAACGATCACTAAGGGTGGCCCGGGATACTAGTAATTTATAAACTATAAACCTCTCTCAAACTAAAATTCAATTTACTAAATTCAAATATAAAAACAATTTAAAATATTCAAGAAAATACAAAATTCTATTTCTTTTGTACTATACAGAGGCGGATCTAGATTTTTCAGGGCCTAGAGATTATTGAAGTCCAATGGGGGTCTCATTTTTTTGTTAATACAAATAATATTATAAATTATCATTATTATCATATTATTAATATTAACTAATTTTTACTATACAAGAAATGCTCATTCTTAGGGGAGACCGGGGCAAGATCGGCATGTTAAGCTTTACTTAAATTTTGTGTAATAAATACTGCTGTAAACTGAAAAAAAAAGCTTTGCATATTGTCTATTGGAATGTTACCTTACTATAGAACTGGTTAAAATCAGTTTGGAAATAAAAATAATTAAAATAATTACAACTTTACAAGAAGAGAGAAATTGACGAAGTTGCCCCGGGTATAGGGGCAAGATCGGCAACTTCTCTCTTTTTGTAAAGTTGTAATTATTTTAATTATTTTTATTAAAGTTGCCCCTGGTATAGGGGCAACAGTAATGGGGCAAGATAGGCACGTATATAAAATTATGTTATTAACAATGTATAAGTTGGAATTCACTATTAAAACAAAGAAATACAAATCCAACACCCATTTAATATTATTACAACGAAATGCAAGTTCAAAGACATATATACATGAATAACAAATGCAAACATGTTTTCATTTATCATCTGTTTGATTTTTATCCTTTGCTTCTAATGTGGCTTTATGTTGCCGATCTTACCCCGCTAGTCATGATTTCGAAACATTAAGTACAACCCTGAGAACAGAATGCCAAGCCACGATCTGGCCACGTGAATAAGTTGAAGTTACATCCTTCTAACAGGAAAAGTAACTTTCGTTATCATGGAATTATAACAAAACCTGCCAATTCAATATAAATGGAAAAAAAATATTATATGGAATTGAACGAAAATGAAAATTTGCTTGATAATTCAACTACGCTTGTTGGAGAACAATAAAAACACTACACTCAACAAGCCACCAATAAAACTCAACTGCCTAACCTATAACCAAAGTCTCCTTTTAATTTGTTTTTTAAAAAAAAGCGCTTGACAAACTTGCCCCGCATGCCGAAGTTGCCCCGGTCTCCCCTAAATTAAAAATTTATGATAATAATTCAATTTTTATGGGCCCATGATACTTGGGGGCCAGGGCTTAAGCCCTATTAGTCCCTATGTAAATCCGCTTTTCATAGTATACACGAAATTATTTTTTTATAAAAAAATAAAATTAGTTTATATTCAATAGATCTCATTTGTTGTTAAATTATGAGTAATTCATAATAGTACTTTTTTAAAATTTTTATAAGAACATTTATAATATGTTTATACTGTATATAATGTAAGATTTTTAGATATGCAAACCGAACTGTGTGTATGTTTCGTTAAATAATTCTAGTAATAAATTAGTATCGATATGAGTATATTGGATTATCTATAAAACTGCGAGAAACGAAATAAAACTGTCAAATTAATTAAATAAAAATCTAAAGTTTATATTAATATTATTACTTATTTTTTATACGAAGATTTATTCAACAGTAGAGAAATGAAAGTAATAAATATATTACAAGACACAAATAAGTTTATAAATAATGTTTTTCCCGTAAAGAATATAATAATAAAATTCAATTTTATTTTTATTTAAATTATGTAACAAATTATACTTTCTGTTGAATAATAAAGTTGAATATATTTATTCCTGAGTTAACCAACATTTTTCTAAATATACTTATAGTTTATGCGATTTTTATTCGTCATATTTTTTTTTTTTATTTAAAATTTGTCGATAAAATAAAATAAAGTAAAAGCAATAATACCATAAAAATTTAGTTTAGAAATTGCAGTTCCTTTTACAGAATTTTCCATGATCGATTTTTTTCTACTGAGAATCAAATGTCAATCGTTGAGAGCAAATGTATCAGTACAGAATCAAACATTATTATTTAGTATTAAAATGTAACGAAACTATAATTCTAATCTTTAACAAATTTAAAAATTTAATTTTTAAATACATTTATTCGCTTAATTATTTTCCGAATATTTTTATATTCAAGGGCAAGTATTTCAAATAGAAGACTGTATAATTTGCTTTTGTTTTTATTGTAAATGACAATTAAACGATAAAATTTTAATTTTTACAATTAGAAATAATATATTAAACAATAAACCATAATACACATCTATTGTTATTCGTGATAATTTCTTAATAAAATTAATTTTTTTTGTATTTCTACTTTAACTGTGTTGAATTTTATCATTGTGTATTTTGTCTCCCTTCCTAAAGGCGAATAATCTGAAGAGAAAAAGACAATAAATATTTGAACATAGATCTATTGTGATTTTAATTCTAATTTATTGATTTATTTTAATTAAATACTCTTTGCATACTTAATTCGTAATAACATGAATTATAGTGTATCTGATTTATAATCATTTACCTTAAAAATTGGCATTATAGCATTATATTTATAATAAAACAATATAAATATAATAACATTAATTTTATTATATACAGTATTCAAACAATAAAAAGCTTAGTATTAATAATATTTCTTTATTAATATAAAATTCTTTCTCCTAGCTAAAATAAATAAAAATTTGTTTACACAATACACACATTCAATATATATATGCTATATATGATATTAATTGAAATTTATATTTACG